TATGAAGTCCCCCTCCTACTGTCACCTCCAAGATCCCATTCGATTTGAGTTTGTACAGGGAATTTTGCTTTCACTAGTGCAACCTAAGGCTGTTTCCAGTGTGTTTCTACTTGCCACTCTTCCTCTCCAAAGTCTGTATGTTTTTGAGTTAGCCTTCTAGAGGGACATGAAACACCACAGGCAATCATAATTTTATGTTAATGAAGCTATTTGTCAGTGAATTAAAATTCAGAAGTGAAGTTTTATGTTAATTAAATATGAAGAATTACCAAAAAGTGCAACAGGCCTTGTTATTTTTATATTAAGTTTCATTTATTTGACACTGCACCTTCAGGATTATGTAGATTTTCTGCATTAACAATAAAATCTAAACACCAAGAATGAATGAAAAGCATGTTCTGATTGGTTAACCATGGAAAGCTAAAATCCTGTAGTTTAGCATTTGTCTACAAATCAAGTAATTGACTAAATTTTCAGGTTATGGTCTCATAGTCTCAAGTAGCTGGAAATGAAATACTTGCTGCTGTAAGTATTTAAATGCATTCCTGTGATCTAATTGCTTTTGCTTTAAATGATCATGCCCGTTCCTCATTTAGCATGCTTAATGCATCCACTTAGAGTTACATGATTCATTTTGTCCTCGCTTTAGGGTAAACTAAAATATTGTTGCACTCTGAAACAGGAAGTTAGGGCCAAGGATGTGTAATTTATTTCAAACTCAAGTAAATGCTATTTAGGTTAATGCCCAGCTGATTTGAAATAGGTCGCAGAAGGCACTGGTCTAGACATATCAAGGATGAGGGGGTCATTAAGAGCAGCCAACATGGTTTTACCAAGGGGAAGTCATGTCTGACCAACCTTATAGCCTTCTATGAGGAAGTAACTAGGTGGCTGGATGATGGTAGAGCGGTAGGTGTGGTTTTTCTTGATTTCAGTAAGGCATTTGGTACTGTCTCCCACAGCATCCTCATAGATAAGCTAAGGAAGTGTGGGCTTGATGATCAGGTAGTGAGGTGGATCAAGAACTGGTTGAAAGGAAGAAGGCAGAGAGTTGTGGTTAATGGGGCAGAATCTAGCTGGAGGTCTGTGACTAGCGGAGTCCCTCAGGGGTCAGTGCTGGGGACCAGTGCTGTTTAATATTTTCATCAGCGACCTGGATGAGGGAACTGAGTGTACCCTCAGCAAGTTTGCTGATGACAGTAACCTGGGAGGAGTGGCTGACACACCAGAAGGCTGTGTTGCCATTCAGCGAGACCTGGACAGGCTGGAGAGTTGGGTGGGGAGAAACTTGATGAAATTCAACAAGGGCAAGTGTAGAGTCTTGCATCTGGGGAAGAAAAACCCCATGTACCAGTACAGGTTGGGGGCTGACCTGCTGGACAGTAGTGAAGGGGAAAGGGACCTGGGGGTCCTGGTGGATAGGAGGATGACCGTGAGCCAGCAATGTGCCCTTGTGGCCAAGAAGGCCAATGGCATCCTAGGGTGCATTAGAAAGGGGGTGGTTAGTAGGTCAAGAGAGGTTCTCCTCCCCCTCTACTCTGCCTTGGTGAGGCCGCATCTGGAATATTGTGTCCAGTTCTGGGCCCCTCAGTTCAAGAAGGACAGGGAATTGCTTGGAAGAGCCCAGCGCAGAGCCACAAAGATGATTAAGGGAGTGCAACATCTCTCTTATGAGGAGAGGCTGAGGGAGCTGGGTCTCTTTAGCTTGGAGAAGAGGAGACTGAGGGGGGACCTCACCAATGTTTACAAATATGTAAAGGGTGAGTGTCAGGACGATGGAGCTAGGTTTTTTTCAGTGATGTCCAGTGATAGGACAAGGGGCAATGGGTGTAAACTGGAGCATAGGAGGTTCCATGTGAATATCAGGAAAAATTTCTTTACTGTGAGAGTGACAGAGCACTGGAACAGGTTGCCCAGGGGGGTTGTGGAGTCTCCTACATTGGAGATATTCAAGGCCCGCCTGGATAAGTTCCTGTGTGATGTACTCTAGGTTACCCTGCTCTTGCAGGGGGATTGGACTAGATGATCTTTTGAGGTCCCTTCCAACCCTTGGGATTCTGTGATTCTGTGAAAATACAAGTGCCGCCTCCTGTTGCCACTGACTGTTCCCTATATTTGTGTAAATATTCTTCAGTATACAGCAGACAGTGAGTGTGTGCACTGGGTTGTGTATTCCACCTGGGCTGTGCTTTTTTGCACACTGATACTTATCCAGTTGTTTTCGTTTATTTTCTTCACAGAAAATGTATATGCCATGACTGAAGACTTTCTCTTATCTCGTCTCCCTATTAAAGAGAAGGGTGGGGGAAAGGAATAATGCTTGATGTCTGCTACCGGCTAGCAAAATGTGTGTAAATGCATGCGTTTTGACTTTGTGTGTGGACAGATGGTAGGTTAAGGCAAACCTAAAGATATTTGCTCCCATGATGATTTTGCAAAGCAGCGTAGCAGATTGTCAATTTGTACACTGTTCTAATGGGATAAGTTTTTTGACTGCTGGGTTGTTGCATGGCACTAAAACTACGTGAATTGTAGCTCAGTGCTGTATCCTGGTGAATCAATGTTTGCAAGTATCTGCACTCATAGAGACTGGATTCCTGAGTGACTCTGCCTGTGAAGGATAATAATTTCTGGCATCTTAATCTCCCTTCTCTTCATGCGGATGTCTAAAAATAAAGGCCATGGTTTGATTTAATTTTGTGACGTACAGCATGCAGCTTTGAACTTGCCTGAGCTCTGTGACTCCATTCGGCCACCTCCTTCCCCCTAGCTCACAAGGAAGATAACTTTCCCTGTTCGGTTCCATGTTTGTCCCTCTAACACTGCTCTCCAGCACTGTGTGCTGAAGTGCCTTCTATTTGTCCTTTGCAGCTTCCTTTTGCCAAAATACAAACAGGTTGCTATCTGCTCTAAGAAACAGCTTGATATGCACTTCTGCAGTGAGTCTGGGAAACATTAAAAAGACAGCAGCTGAAGCACTCCTTGAAACCGAGAAGCCCTTACACCCACCTTCATGGGATTAACTCAACATATTAATTTGAAATTTCAACCTCACTGCTGACACCCTATATTGTGTCAACTTTTGGGTTTGGAATTTAGCCTTGGATCATACTATTTATATTCAAATTCAAATTCAGTTATATTTATAATCAAAGCAGGGAAATAAAGTTATTTTATAAGAAAACTTATACCAAATTCCTGGGAAGGAAGGGATTATATTAGTAAGCAGTTCGCAAGCCTCCGTTTTTTGATTATGAGTAAGAAAGCAATACGAACAGCAGCTGACTTGCTGATCTCTGTCTTCACTTGAAAGTCAGAGCTCAGGCATTCATTTAGAGAAATGAATACTTTTTTTCACTGCAGCCTGTACAGGTCTTCTGACAGTCATTGTTAATATTGATAACTCTGTGGGCCAGAAAATATTACTAGTTCAAGAATGAATCAAGGCTGATACTGCTGTGAAAGGAGTTAGTGGAAGTTTATTGCTTGTAAAAGGAGGAAGACTAGACCAAAAGAGATTTATAATTCAAATGTGTTTAATAGTTGTGTATCTGTATGATACAGATCTATTCACACTATTTTGAGTATATCTAAAACATACAGTCTCTCTTATTTTCTAGGACACTGTCTTGGTTTTAGTCTCTCAATAAGTAGTTGCTATTTATAGAGCAGATCAAGAGATGTGGCTTGCAGATGTCAAAAAGATGCATGTTTCCTCACATATAAGTGTTTTCTTGCTTTAACTTTATGCAAATACTTTATTGTTAATGCTTTCTAGAAGGCCACAGGAGACATACAGACTTTATTTTTTTTCCTGTATGATTAATACCAGCCATTTGGTTTTTGCTTTCATTTGTAAGTACTTCAAACTCTGCCGTAGAAAGGAGAAATGGGTTATGTGTATTTAAATGTACACATGAAGATTAAAAGGACTGCAATCCTCATTTCTGTTAGTCACCTACATCAATATAATGAATCTCTAACATGAAATATCTGTTTACAAAGTGCTAGTACCAGCACTTGTTTCATTTTTCATTTTGGAAAACATTTAATTTCCAACTTAAGTTTTCGCTATGTATTTTTTAAATATCCTGTATTATAAACGCTCCTTCTGTGTCTCAAGACATTTGGTAATTTACTGCTTTTGATTCAGTAAAATTCTTATGGACAGTTATAATATTGACATTTTGGCAAAATGAAGTGGGATTTAACGAAACAAAACAAAACAACCCCCAAAAATGATGAGTAGTGTTACTATCATCCTGGTCATAAAATTGTCTTCAAATCCTTGTTCCTGTTAACTGTATTCTGCATTCTAACATTCTTGTATGTTTTATTATGTATAAATTCACTATTAGTCAGAAGTCCTTTGTAGCTGCAGAAGAAATCTAACTATTCCCTTTTAATAGGAGGCTAATAATAAAATGGTAAATGCATAAAGCAAAGTATTTAGGGCATGTAGATATGTAGAACAAGTGTTCTAGATACTGTGTTAGTATAGAAAAGAAAAACACCATGACTACTGAAATACTTCTGTGAGCCCTTTTATAGAGCAACAGCAACTCCCCCCCTTTCTCAACCTTCGAATGACCTCACCACAGTGCCTTAAAGATGAGACAATAATGAAAGTATCCTTTGTTTATAGTATCCCATAGAACAAATAGGTTTTAGTAGTGGCTCTTGTATTTGTGCTATGAAAAATTTCTCAGAAAAAATAATTTCAGTGTTTTTATTGTACCTTCTGTCTTGGACTGTAAAGGTGCGAGGGCTTTCTTAGGTTTTATTTTCCTGTTAAACACATGTAGTGTAAAGAGCCAAAGCAAAATCTTTAATCATTAACAGGCCAAAGAACTGTTAAAGAGTAAAAAAAGTCAGTGAATACAATTTAATAAAAGCTATACTATCCAATTAAATCATACAGTACTGTGCATTTATACTATTGTGTTAGCCATAAAAATCTAAACCAGTTTATAATATCATACAGTTATGTAGGTACTTACCATTTTAAAAGCAGCATCGAGTCGAATCGATGGAAAGTCCCCAAGGTGTAATCAATAATTGATTAAAATGATGAGCCTTTATGGTATTCTTTTGAAGTGCACAATCTGAAATTAAAGGAAATTTACTGACAGTTGTATATTTTGTTGAAAGAAGGATTCCTCAGACATACATATATTAACAACGAAATCGATGTCGCCTTCTACAGAGTACAAGGAAAGTGATTTATTTTGAAAATGTCTTTCAGCTGGGTAACTAGGTAACTTACACTGTGTTGTAGATAGAGTTTGGATTCCATTTTGTGAAGCAGGATTCCAGTGTAATGAGTGAAGGAAACAGATGGAGTAAGATGACTGATGGGTACCAAAAAATCAGTCACCATTTTCAGTACCTGTACATTAACCGCCATAAATCAATTTATTTTCATTTACTGAAACAGAAAATTACAGATTATTCAGCCAAAGCATTACAGAACCCAAACCCACTCTATGTTAAAAGCATATTTATAGTGATTACCAGGCGTTCTAGATGTGTTACATCTGAGAGTAAAATCTTCTGCAGGCAAGAAGCTCACTCCCCGTTCAGTCATTTCATTCTGTTAGGGAGATTGAAGCATCTCTATTATTCTGGAGGGGGGAACATTAGCTGGTTATTCTGCCATATTTGACAGCTGTAAAGCTCTCCTTGTAAAGTAAAGCTCTCCTTGTAAACCAGAGGTGAGCTATTGAAGTGATGCACTGAGTGTTAGGGTCTTGCTCCACCATAAAGGCTTCAAGCAGCCTGGGAAGGAGCTGAAACTGGAAAGCCTAAATTAAAGGCTGAGTGCAGAAAGCCACTATCTCTCCTGCAGCAGCTGTGAATTGCAAGACACGAATAGTGGATTAGAAAATGAAAACAAATTTACTATTTATATACCAGAAGTCCTTATCTGCTGCATGGCACAGCTGCTGTGTCACATACTTGACCCTGACTTAATTTGGTCATCCCTGTGGTTAAATAGGAAGTTCAGCTCTGAGCCAAATAATTTCCTAGCACCCCTCACCAGTAACTGCCCACTTGTTGCTGACTTTTATATGAACACCTGCCCATGAGAAATTGGATTATGCCCATCCAGATAATTTACATCTATTTTAGGATGTCTTGCAATTAGGAGACTTTCAGAATTGTACAATACAAATAGAAATCACACTAGTATACAGAATATTTGAGAAATAAAGAAATATAAGTCAGAATATGGAACTGCTCTTATTCTTGTTGAGTTTATATCAGGAAGTTTTCTTGCATAGAAGCCCTGCATAGTACAGCAAAGGCAAAAGTATGAAAAAGACTGTAACTCAAATATCTTAGAATTGGCTGTAAGATTTTTATCCCAATTGCTTTTAAATTTTACTATGAATACTTTGAATAAGAAAAAAAGTCTTAATTTTTTCAAAATAATTTTCTAATTAAACAATACTAAATTTTAGGGTTAGGCTCAGTACTTTTGTAATGAACCTTAAATCAAATCTGGTGTTTGTTTTTAGATGCAGAAACATCAATGAAATTGCCACTTCCCCCCCTCCCCGGACTTCTTACAAAATTCCCTATCTCCATAGTCATTAACTTCTTCCTCTCCCCCACCAGTCGTTTCTTTTCCACCTTGAGTTTGGAATAAAATAGATATGAAATGTTTCCTGTAAGCAGGTCAGAGATAAACTATACAACTTTCTTAAGACATCTATCTGAAAAAGAGAGTTTAAAATCTTAAACAGGGTCAAAACAGTGAGGAACTCTTTCTAATTTTTGCACCTCAAAGATAGAAAGGAATTATAACAACCATTTTGAAAGCATAAAATTGCTGTGGAATTCAAACTAAGACAGGAATTTACTATCTGTTACTACATTTCTTTTGAAAACAAACAAGATTGCAACACATAAAGCAGCCACTCTTAAATCCCTGTTTAAAGTAATGCCCACTAATAAGTCTTCCCTAATTGGTAAAATTTAATCCTGTTGAAACCTGGCAGCATGTAGTGTCAGGAACATCTTGACAGTAGTACAGAAGAGCATGTCATGGTTTAAGCCCAGCCAGTAACTCAGAACCACATAGCCGCTTGCTCACTCCCTCTTCTTCCTCCCCCCAAGTCCAGGAGGGATGAGGAGAATCGGAAGAATGTAACTGCCACGGGTTGAGATAAGAACAGTCCAGTAACTAAGGTATAAAACAAACCACTGCTGCTACCACCAATAATAATAACGATAAAGGAAATAACAAGGGAAGAGAATACAACCACTCACCGCCCGCCGACCGATACCCAGCCCAACCCAAGCAGTGATCTCCTCCTTCTGGGTAACTGCCCCCAGTTTATATACCGGTCATGACATGCTGTGGTATGGAATACCCCTTTGGCTAGTTTGGGTCAGGTGTCCTGTCTCTGCTTCCTCCCAGCTTCCCCTCCTCCCTGGCAGAGCATGAGACTCAAAGTCCTTGGTCAGAGTAAACATTACTGAGCAGTAACTAAAAACATTGGTGTTATCAGTGCTATTCCCAGGCGGAAAGTCAGAACCTCAGCACTGCACCAGCTACTAAGGAGAAAAATGACTGCTACTGCTGAACCCAGTACAGAGCAGTATAATTATTTTGATCTATATAAGTTAGACTTGAAGAGAAGATGGTCCAAGGAAAGCGGAAACGCCATGCTGCTGTCAATACTTATCAGCATCAAGTCTAACTGATGTGCAGCTTCATTTATAAGTTTGATCTGTATTCAGCCCAGACTAAGATTGCCCTTTTTCAGACTGCTTGATCACTTTTAATTCCCTAGAGGAATGCTTTTAGAAAAGAGAGCAATCTTGTACGAGGCTCTTGCTGATCACCAAATCTAGGGCTTTTTGCCCTGTTGTGGAGAGAAAAAGTACATGCATGCACTGCAGAGAAGAGGGTTCTTTGTTTGAAAAAATTTCCTGGCAGTTTTCAGCTATTATGTACTGAAGACTGTTGCCCAAGTGCTAAGGCTAGTCTAAGTTGAAGCAAAGAGGAAAATCATTCAGAAGTGGTCAGGACTCAAGTGGTCGGTCTTGTTTCTACCCACTACAAAAGATGGTGTGCTAGTTTAAATGCTTCCTGGAGCTACCATCACTGTGGTTTTGGTTCCACTATTCTCCTTGGAGAGAGAGTCCATACATATTATCTTATTAAACTAATATGACTGTGAAACAGCTGTGGGGAATACATGTCAAAGAAAAGGTCACAATCTTCTGTGCAAGTAGGAATAAATGCACAGTATATTCGCTGCTTTTGGAGTATCTGCTAAGAGCTGATTATGCAACATGATTCCTATACAGGAAATTACTCTTACCAAGGCATTGTTTCCCTCTGTATTTTTGTCAGTCAGACAATTGTTTGCAAATGAGTTGAGCTTCATCATCTAAGCTGCAAGTTGAAACACGTGTATTCTGTTCTCCAGGTATATGCATATGAGACATATGAATTAGTCTAATGGATTAGTTGCTAATATCAACCATACAACAGATTCCATTCTGTATATGAAATTGGAATCCTAAATTTAAGCTATAGCTATAATTATTTCAGAAAACAAAAAACCTTTCAAATGAATTATTTCAGTTTGGTTTCATTTCAACAATGCAAATTACTACAAATGACAGAGTGGATTATGGAGACAATAGTATAACCTATGTAACTGGCAAAAGAACATGCTAGGAAGAGTTTGGGAGGCCTGGAGTTCAGAATCCCCACTTCAACTTTGTGTGCCTCCATACAGGTGTGACTGGCTACCGGAAGATCGCTATGGGCATTTCAGCCATTCTCCAGAACTATGTTAGCCAGTAGTCAGAAAGCCTTAATACTTTTACTGGTAGAAAGTAATTCCAGCACACTAGGTATTGTGGTACCAGCACCAACCAACCTCCCCACCCCCCTCCCCTTATTATTCTTATTTTCACCACAGATGAATTTAGTCTGTAAATAACATTATTTTCACCCCATGTGTGTCCTTGCACAAAAATGTTACTACTGAATTGTTCTGAATATGTCTCTGCTTAATTTTGGAGCTCAAAATAGTGATTACTAAGAACCTTGGGCTCTGTCTTGCTGTTTCACTGTTGAGTAGTGCATTAAAGAAGAAACTTAAAGCTCAGTGTAACTGGCGGTTGTTAGCACCATTTCTGCTTGTATCTCGGGATTCTTACCTACTATTCTTAGTTACTTATTCTACAATCTTAAAAAAAATATATATATAAAAATGGAAGGGCCCTGGACAAGCACTGACACTGATTGTTATTATAGAAGTTGCAATCTCTTTTTTATGAAGGGGAAGACGGAAGTATAAAGGCTTGAGGCAGGTTTTAACATTTTTAAACCATGGCTAAAGCCAGTTTAGATCAGTTGGTAAAGGCTTAAGTGATTGTAAGGGAGGTGGTTAGGATCATACAATGAGAAACAGAAACAGCAAATAATATGAAGAAGAAAAGACCGAATGAAGGTATGAAGGAGCTTAAAGACTGGAGATACACCATTAAAAAACATCTTATAATCACAAAAGTGATTATTTAGAAATAAAACTTGAAGAAATATGATAGCAAAAAAAAAAAATAGAGGAACACATAGCAAGAAAATAGGGAAAGTGCAAGTGTAAAAGTGCTGGGACTAAGAAAGAGAAAGGTGTTACCTTTAGAAAACCTGTGTTATCTTCAGAAAACCTATCTGTCAATATTTTGTCCAGACTGACTCCATGGTTCCCCACACCTCAGATATCCTGTTGACTTGAAGCTTCTTTCCCAAGCAAACCAGCTAGATGCCTTCAGGAGAAATTGTGGTAAAATCAATAAAATTGTATGGTTTAAATTGCCATATGAGATGCAGAGGGTTTTGGTCCATGTATCTATGCAGTAAGAATATGGGAAATGTATTCCTGTGAGGTCTGAGCACTGTGGCTATGAGCTGCTGCTCACTAACTGACCTAGAAACTGAATGCTGTTTTTTTTCCACCGCCCCCAAAAAGAGTATTTATGTGGCTTTAAGTTCTTCTAGCAGTGAGTTTGTTACTGCAGAATGCAGAAAACAATGCACAGAAGTCTCAAAAATGTTTAGGTATGAACATGAATCTTC